TTCATCTAACATTGTGATACACATTCATGTATTTTAATAAACTGATGAACTAATTTGAATTTGATTTTTCGAACAAATACAGGTTCGATTGATACCCATCTTTTAGTAATTCATTCAACTTATTGAATAATTTGAATGTAACTTTTTAAACACGTCGCAGCCCCCTTCAAACATTCCAAATGTTCAACCTAAAAACTTCTTTACATTCTTTCGTTTGACTATGGTATTTTTATATTTGATATAATATTTTTATTAGTTAATTGAGTTAAACCTTTCTAATAGGTGGCAGCCCCCTTCAGAAGTATTTTTAACTTAATCCTTCGTTAACGACCCTTCGCCGGTCATTACAATACATATTTTAAATAACTGATGAATTAAGTGGTATTTGATTTTTAAACATGTGGCAACCACGCTAAATACAGTTCACAAACAAAAAATTTTCAAACCCCTTCGATTGATACTCATTTTTAGTAATTCGTTTGAATTATTAAATAATTTGAGCTTAACTATTTAAAAATATGGCAACCCTCTTCTAAAGCATCAAAAATATTTTTAGCGTTCAAACTAAAGATTTCATACCACTCCTGCGTTTGAAATCCATATATTGATATTTCATATAACTTGTATATAAGTAAGCTAAACTTGATATTTCAAGTAGGTGGCAACCCTCTTCAAAATATTTCCAAACTACCAATTTCTGAAACCCCTTTCCTTTGGCACCCATATTTTGATACATATTTCTCTTACCTAATACGATTTTTTAAACAGGTGGATATCCTTCTATAGTTCAGCTAAGGAACAAAGCTTTTCAAGACCATTTCGATTGATACCCATTTTGCAAAAATTGATTTGTTTTTTGTTTTAATAATTTAAATATATTTTTTGAAAGGTGGCAACTCTTTTCGAAAAACTAAAACCAGTTTGCACATCTACAGACCAAGCGCTTTAATTTGAAATCTAACGGATGAACGGTACAGATCTTTTCTGCAAAACCTCGTAACTGACATTTGTGCCAAAAAAGATATTTGTTCACTGGAAGCTCTTCGCATCAGTCCTTATTCATTTATACTTAAATATCGATACTTAGATATAAGAAGAAGAGATAATTAGATAAAGAGAGAATCGTTTTGAAATAGGACTAGCTTTACTCTCTCCTACGAGGTTTTGCATTTTCTTGATACGCGGTTTTGTACTTTAAATGGAGATATAAATAGATATGTCCGCCGAAAGCCCAGAAAATGCAATGGGGTGACCAATAAAAAAGGAGGATGGTTCCGTGCGCAGAAGTGGAAAACTTTTGACTGGCATTCACCTGGGAGTGGCCAGAAGCGATTCTTGTGCGTACGGTTCAAATCGCAGCTCACAACGTCCGGATATTTATATCCACGCATCCTCTGGGTAGCAACCAAACACCCGTTTGGGAGCGAGCTAAAGTGAGATGGCGTAAAACTTCGCATGCGCTGGGTTTGGGTCCCGCCACGTTAAAAC